CATAACAAAGTGTTATTTGTTGTTTAGCATTGTCCCTTACATAATTATTTGTTACTGACTTTTGTTTGTTTCCATATGACTTGATTTCTTTCGAATGTTGTTTTTACTTTACTCAAGACAACTTTATACCAGCAGAGGGCTTTTTATTTTGGGGAGGAAAAGAGAATCCTGAAAACTTTGACTGGGTTTTATTATTGCCCACAAATATAGAAGCAAAAAGTATATGATGTTGCTTAGTAGGGAGAGAAACACAACCAAATTTGGAGTTTAGAAAGAGAAATTCGGGCATCACAATCTAGAGAAAAAGAGTAGAGAAAGAAGAATTCAACCACACAAACAGCCCTAAAAACCCAATTGAAGCTTTGAATCATGAGAGAGAACTATGTGAAGGATGAGTTCTTCATGCGAGCATGTCTTAGTATTTTGTTCTTTAAGAATGGCCTAAATTTTTGTCATAAAAATCTCTACCCTTCTTCAGCACTGAAGGAGGCGTTTTCTCCAATGAGGGGAGTCTAATGCTGGCGCATCATGGACAGATTTTGGTTTTTCGTTGGGTTTTGATTGTTGAAAATGAGATGTATTTTCGGTTTTTTAAGCCTTATTTTTTGGTGTGTTTAGCCTTGTAGAGATTATAGGGTAGTATTGTCAATGGCACAGCTATTTATTTGTGAAGGAAAGTATTGTCGTCTCCTATTATATTTTCATTAAGACTCCAATTTAAATCGAATTACGGTTTCTTGGAGTCTAATTAAGAGTTTTCATTCTAAATAGGGGTCTGTAGAGGAATTTGATCAGGGTTTGGATAGTATTTGTTTTGTAAGTCTTGGTTAAACAGCTAGCTCGGCTCATAAGCTTCCAGTAATTTTCAATCCATTCATTAGATCATTGATTTTTTTCGCTGTTATTTTCTTTTTATATCAAAAGCACAACCAACATTCAAAGTTTAGAGAGAGAACCTCGGCCTCCTAAATGGAGCTTTAGTGACCAATGTTAATGGTTTGGAGAAACATCAAAAGCATGTCTCTCATTGAACCACCATCACTCCTTAATTATTCTACAACTCCCCTCAAACCTAACCAATCATTGCCTTTTGCCTCTCCACTCCAGAAAATTAACATTTTCAAATTGTGGTTTTTCGAGGCTCACTATATACGAGGGAACTTAGGTGTGGCTTCTATAAGCGACAAGAGGAGGGAAAGTAGACTTAGCTAGGCTGGCCATGTGCAACGTAGACCTAATACAACACCGGTTAGGAGGTGCAATTTAGGCTCTAAAAGGGCAAGGGGAAGCCCAAAAAGACATGGATAGAAGTAGTGAGAAAATATATAATAACTTTTGATTTTTCTGAGGGTATGGTCTTTAATAGAGAACAATGGAGAAACAACATACTGCCCTTTCAAACATAAGGAATGCTTCAATTGAAATCAGGCGAACAATCTTATTTTGAATCTTGAAAATGTGAGTGAGAGAGAGAGAGAGAGAGAGAGAGAGAGAGAGAGAGAGAGAGAGAGAGAGTAGTAGTTA